GTAGTTAGTTACTGGTGATTTGGGCTTTAACAGCCAGATAAAAAGCCCCGCTCTCTCGGGGCGCTCTGGTAGGGAAGACAGATAATTAACATATGGACGAATAAATAAAACGATCGCACTGTGTAATAGTGCGGTGAAAGACAGACCAGGGGTGATGAAGTAGAGCGTTACTAGGAGAGACCACTCAGACAGGGCTGGTCAGGGAACGTTTCTCCGAACGGAGGACGCTTGAGCTGACATCTAAAGGATGAGAATGAACGAGCCGCTGAGGGAAAAACTGTCCAGGCAGTAGAACAGTNCGAGGCCTTCAGAACCCCGGTTTTCGAACAGGAGGTTCTCACGCGTGTCTGCCTGGGATCTCCGACCCGCTGCCCCAGCCCGGCCGGGGGTTCGGACACCGCCGCCTCAGTCCGCGGGGTCGACGCACCCGGGCCTTCGTGCCCTGCCGTCAGCTATATGGTCCCTTAGGACTCGGGGGCGGGTGAGCGGGACACGGCCAAGTTGAGACTTGAAATTTCAGGGTGCTTCTCATCCACGCGCACGGTGCTTTTCCTGTGCTCGGTTTTTCTACCGTCTGCCCAAGTCACAATTTCGGAAGGACTGTAGAGTCTCTCCTTTAGCTCTTTGTTGAAGAAACACTCAGTGCTTCCCTGCAGTGTGCCGGGTATTGTGGTAGTTAGTTACTGGTGATTTGGGCTTTAACAGCCAGATAAAAAGCCCCGCTCTCTCGGGGNCATCTAAAGGATGAGAATGAACGAGCCGCTGAGGGAAAAACTGTCCAGGCAGTAGAACAGTGAAGTGCAAAGATCTGGAGGTAGGAGAGAAGGACTTTATTTATTTATTTTTATTATTATTATTATTTTTAAGATGACCGGTAAGGGGATCTTAACCCTTTACTTGGTGTTGTCAGCACCACACTCTCCAAGTGAGCCACAGGCCGGCCCCTGAGAGAAGGAATTTAAAGAACACCAATGTGATTGTTAATAGGAATCAAGAGGAAGAAAGATAAAGAAGTCGGATATTCTTGCCAGTGAGAGATCACGTAGAATCTTGCAGGGAGTATTTGTAAGGTTTTTAATGGGGAATGACAACTGATAGACTTTTGTGAAGTTCTGTACTTGCTATATGGGAAGGACTTCTGAAGGCGAGAATGAATGAAAGCTAAAAGACTCTAAAGTATGATGAAAGTAGCTTCGACTATTGTAACGGTGGAGATGAAAGAAATGGATGAATTTGAGATTGACTGAAATGGGGTAGACTAGGGAAGGAATGCCATATTCTTTTGAGGTGTCAGCAATTGAGAACCGCATTTGGAAATTGATATTTATGATGCTTACCAAGGTTATGGGTTCTGATCCTCGGAATGGCCAGTTGCCAGAAAAAAATATATATATTTATGATGCTTTTTAGACATCCAAGTGGAGTTGTCAACTAGGCAGCTGGATGCATATACAAGTCTCATGCTCAGGAATGAAGTCTGACCAGGAGACGGCAATTTGGGGTCATCTATTTAGAAACAATATTTAGAATGAGCTATCTACTTTTCCAGGTTCATTTCCTCTTACCTGGTTCCTATCATCTCCCACCCACTATGCCTATAAAATTCCCAGAGTGTGTTCTGTTCTTTTACCCTTCTTCATGTTTTTTCCTGTAACTGCTTTTTCCCAGTTTCTCAAGTCAGCTCACTCAAAGGCCCTCATACTCTTATACACACACCTCTTTGAGGCCCTTATACAGACCACTACTTTTGTGATGCTTTGTTTACATATCTTTCCTCCTAACTAGATATATAAAAATTCTCTAAGGAATATACCTTCATTCATTCAACAAATACTTGAGTGCCTACTGGGTGTCAGGACTTGGAGATGTCAGTGCCTTACATAAATTAAGTACAGTATATAGTAAATGCTGAATGAAGAGAACATTAGTTAGTGGAGGATAGCAATAGATAATTTTCCTTGCCCTTAATAAGATAAAATTATGG